AGAAATGCAGACACCCAACTACACTTTACTAGAAAAAAATATAGGATATTTTTCTTTCAACTTATTCTTTCAAACGTGATTCAGACTTGGGTCAATCAAGCATTTTGACAGAGAAGGTATTTGGACGAGTACATGGACCACAAAACTCACCTGGCAAGAGCTCGAATTTTTTGGAAAAATCGATCTTTTGAAAATTTAACTTTTTATCTCTCAGTCTCCACAGTCTGCAATATCCATCCTTCAGTGGATTATCGTGTTTTTAAATACTTTTGGAAGAAGCTGACAGAGTAAAACAAGCCTTACGATACCGCCGTGTTTCTTGGCAAAGGATGACGAAATTTTTCGGGAAAAACCGGAAGTAGAAAACGAAAGGAATTCACAGTAGAGCAGGTGGATAGGTTTGGGTAATGTGACACGCGGTGGAAACTAAGATTTGGTACGTGCTAAGATTTTTTTCCTTTGAATGTTTCCGTTTGCAAACTGCAATTTTATCCCTTCTTACGCGACTAATAAATCAAATGAAAGCGATTGATAAGTTTAGTGAGGTCGCACGGGCTGCCTGAGTTCTTCCCGGGAATGATTCCCATGCTTATTAAACAACTCCCTAGTTCCCACTAAAAAGACAAACCACGAAAGGAATTAGGTCTAAAGAGGAACGATTTGTCATTTGTAGCCTTACCAGATCTTGCCACACGTCTGCAGTTGAGGGTGCCTCTGAGCGAGCTCTCGCAATGTCACCATCGATTTGGTCCTGATACACCTCAAGTTTATTACTTGCACAGTTCTGCCCTTTTAATTACTTACGCTGCTTCAAACAGTTGCGGGCTTTTTGTCAACATGGAGGAGGAAATGAAAGTCGAGGTGAGGAAGCTAGTGTGATACTTTGTTCTGTTTCCCGGCTTCAGGAAAATATCAAGATGAGGCCGCCTCCAGTAGTGACTGGCATCTCTCCTGCAGAAGGTCCACCTGGAACTAAGGTGATCATTCGTGGAGAACACCTCGGCGTCAACGCGAAAGATGTGACAGGTATGTCAGCTGTACATGAACTGACCAAGAAGCCTGATAATTACATATCTAATGAGGGAATCTTTGTGAAGATATTTTCTTAATTTTGCTTGCTCTTCCGTTACTTCCGTTCAAATGTCATCAGTCCAGATAATTTGTTTCAAAGGAATTGGGTCATGATTTTTCAATAAAAGAAAAGGTCTATGTCGAACCCTGCAGTAAATACAACTTCTGTTTACATTACTGGGTAGAGATACAATCTTAATATGACCTCTCCCAGTGTAGCCTAAAAACCTTACAGTTTGCTAAATTCCCAGTTTACGTCGATAATTCTTTCAATAAAGGAAGGAAAATCCCTCAACTTTTGTCTTCGTTACAAAATGATTGGTTTGGTTTCCCAAGGATGATTACAATTTTGATTTTTAATTTTTTTCCGTTCATTTGGAATATGTATCTATTTTTGGGACTTTCATTAGCAAGAGTTCCATATAACCCCATACATTAATTATGCATAAAGTGTTGCAAAGAAACCTTTATATTTAGCCTTTATGAAATGTAATGCATAATTTATGTAGGGGGTTATATGGAACTCTTTCCCTTTCATTTTGTGAGGAATGGAGAGCTAAAAGGAAAAAATAAAAATAAATTTTGGATAAGGGTTAAAGGTAGGGGTGCTGGAAAATCAAAATATTTCCAGGTTTATGAATAAAGGAGGTACGTTTCTATAAAAAAGTATGGTGCTGCATCAGTGAGGGAGTATAACAAGATAATTTGAAAATTATCTTATCTAAATTATCTCCAAAAATAATGAACCTCATATATACATTGTATAAGATAATTTGGTGTGATCAACTGAGTTGATTATTTAAATTGACCATCATAAAGAGTTTGAAAGCTGACATTTCAAACACCAGCCCTTTGTTAGAGCAAATGAGTGGTCAATTTACATTAACAAGAAAATTATCTCCAAAAATAATGAACCTCATATATACATTGTATAAGATAATTTGGTGTTATCAACTGAGTTGATTATTTAAATTGACCATCATAAAGAGTTTGAAAGCTGACATTTCAAACACCAGCCCTTTGTTAGAGCAAATGAGTGGTCAATTTACATTAACAAGAAAATTATCTCCAAAAATAATGAACCTCATATATACATTGTATAAGATAATTTGGTGTTATCAACTGAGTTGATTATTTAAATTGACCATCATAAAGAGTTTGAAAGCTGACATTTCAAACACCAGCCCTTTGTTAGAGCAAATGAGTGGTCAATTTACATTAACAAGTCACTTGATAGAACCAAATTATCTTATCTAAATTATCTCCAGATTGAGATTTCTAGTGGTTAAAAACTCTGAGATGTACAAGTATAATGATACAAAACATTTGATGAGATAACATTGAAATACCACTCTTATTATTAAGAATGGAAAATAAAAAAAATGTCATGAAAAGTTTGCATGTGCTCATAATAAAGTTTTCCTGTTTTGGTACATTTAGTAGTTGATTAAGTAAGCTATTATTTCTTGTCGCTAACATTGATTTGTGGATGTCAAAGGAAGTATTAACGGACATCGTGTAATCAAGCCTTCACAAACAATGATGCATTTACTCAAATAGTCGCTGGTAAAACCGCATGCATAGATTAACACTATGATTGTCGAGGAAGCCGATGTAACAGGAAATTAGTAGCCTTGATTAACTAAAGAATGTGTAAAACAAAACTGGAACTTTGTCAAGTTAGCTAAAATTATCTTACCACTCCAGATTTATGTATCTGGGTGTGTATATCCGTAGCTAATAAAACATAGCATTTTTGTAACTCTAAAAAGATGAGATTGAGATAGGTTGTAGAACAGAACGCGTAATGTTGGATTGTGAAGAATAAAGTCAAGTTAACTGAAAGTATACAGTCCAAGTCTGTAGAACCAGCATGTGCAGAGTTTCCTCTTAACATAAGTGAAAAATTCTGCGAAAAAAAAGGACCATTTGTTTTATTGATTGCATGGTGATATTAACATGGCTGTAAAATGTGGCGGCATTCTGGCTTTTATTCAGGCTGCAAAAATATAGTAGTGATAAGAGAGTATGGCATTGACAATGTAGGCTTGCTGGGTGAAAATTCCAGCAAAGCATTGCATTATTGTTTAAAATTCTTTGAGTGTCAGTTAATTAGTTGTTTCAATGAGTAAATTGTAGTGTATTGTGATAGTCATGTACAACAAATAAATTAAATATTTACCTGGACTTGTTTCTGATGTTATTAGGTCTGACTATTTGTGGGGCCAACTGTCTGCTGTCAGCTGACTACAAGTCAGCCAGTAAGATCATAGCACGCACTGGACAGGCTCCACAAGGGAAGGGAGATGTGATAGTCACAACACGATCAGGAGGACAAGGAAGCTGTACTGTACAGTTTAAAAGTGTCATGGAAGTCCCAGGTGCATTTACTTTATGTGCACAATTTATGATGCTTGGTTTATTTTTTGTTTGACCTTTAAACAGGGACTGATTTGTGAAGAATAACTCAACAGGCCAATTAATATACTGATACTATACCCAACTTTTTTCCTTTTTTTCCATATTGCTCTGCTGTATAATTTATCAGTTGCTTCATGATTTTCTCACTCTGAACCACCAACCTCATTCAATCAGTTCAGGATACCAAGGAGCTTGAGGCATAGGTGATAACGAATGGTGCTAAAACTTTAGCCTGTCCAAGTGAAATTTTATTTCAAGGAGGCATGTAAAAGGAATATCAAATGTTATGTACCTAGAGAAACAAAATTTCTTTGCATCTGTTTCATTCTTCATTGGTTGCAGATCCTTTGAAAGAGAGTGCTGTTTGGTTGGAAGAAATAGACCCAGAAGAATTAAGAGCACGGTCTGGTTCCACAAGACCTGTATCACCACAGATAAATACCAACCAAGATCCCCTGGGAACAGGTCTTGATATAGTTAGGTTAGTTCCACAAGGTTTTATAAAATGCACTCTACAAAACTCCCTTTAGTTTTCAGGTTGAAACCCCTTTGAGTGAAGGAAAGAATGTAACAATAACTTTTTAATTGATAATAATATGGATGATGTGATCATTTGGTATCAAACACAGGCACTAAGTTTAACGATAGAAACAGTGCAGAATTTATATGTACATTTTCAAAACTGACTCTGTTTAAAAGACATTAACTATAATGTTTTAATGTTAAAACCTTAGCAGTAAATTTACAGAGGAACAACTTGAAGAGTTTTATCCCGAAGGTTAGTTGATTTTTTTGGAAATAAAATCTCTAGTTAATGTTTTTGCATAATAATTTATTACTATTTCTATCATTGATATATCTATTATTGTAACGATGTCACCCAGATGGCCATGTAATAAACCAGGTTTAACTATAAAAAGAAACTCCACTTTATTCAACTGCCATGACACTCGGAAAGCATGGCCTACACAACTATCCATGATCCTTTGCATATTTACAATGTCCAAGAACTTTGCTAACACAACTTCCGGTAAACAATACCATCAAAACATTACATCCCTTTCTTTCTTTAGAGACAAACAGATAACAGTGAACAAAAAAAATCTATCTGCATGAAAACTGTCCAATAAAATTTAGTAACATGAAACTGAATCTAACAGGCTTCAACATAAGTCCAATGTGTCAACAGAGTTCAGTTCATAAAGTACATAGTCCTTGTACTTCTCCGGCATTCTGACAGTCCGCCTTGGTCTTGATGTCGTTATATTCTCCTCCAGTGGAAGGGTATTGGAAGCGTCTTGAGAAATGGCCTCTGTGGCTTCCAGTAATTTCCCTGGTGGGTTGTACCGCTTAACCAAGGCACTGTTCCACCTATATTCCCGCTTGTTGTCAGCATGTTCCTTGTGGATCAACTTGTGATTCCAATCACGATCTGTGACCCCCTCATCCAACAGGTTACCAGGGCACTTTAACTCTAGAAGTTTTGTTTTCAACTCGCTGCCAAACATGAGGAACGCAGGAGTAACACCAGTGCTTGTTTGCGATGTGGTTCTATATGCTAACAGAAACTTCTGCAGTTCTTCCCGCCAGTTCTTTCCCTTGACTCGGGCAACTTTCAAAGACTTAAGCAGAGTTCTATTCTGTCTTTCAACATGTCCATTAACCTGTGGCCAGAATGGTGGAGATGTCAAGTGTTCGAAACTTCTCAAACTCCTCACAGCAAAACTGAGGACCATTGTCAGATTTGAGAGTAAATGGAAATCCATATCTGGAGAATATCTTTGTCAGTACATCCACCACTTTCTTTGCTGCTGTTGAGTGCATGATCGCTACCTCGTAGAATCTACTGTAATAGTCTACGACTACGAGCAAACTCTCTCCAGTGGGAAGAGGACCCTTCAAGTCTATGGCGATGTCTTGCCAGGGTCCAGTAGGTGGCTTTACTCTTTTCATGGGCTCAGGAACTTGAAATTGACCCACAACTTGGCATCCACGACAAGACTTACACATCCGCTCTGCGTCTGAGTCAATCTTTGGCCACCAAACCTCTGTCCTTAAATGTGCTTTCATTTTTACGATGCCCTGATGTCCCTCATGGGCAAGATGCAAGACTTCTCCCCATAAAGCCTTTGGAACAACAATTCTTGTACCATGCAAAACAAGTTTGCTCAACACACATAATTCATCCTCGACACACACATAAGCTGTCATCTTACATTGAGACCAGTCCCCACTTAAAATGTACTGTCTCAGGCTAGCAAGTTCTGGGTCACTATCAGAAGCCAGTCCGACTTGTTTCACTGTCAGAGCAACAGGTAAACTTTCCTCAGTGACTGCCTTGACAAAGTCAAATTTCTCCCCACTTGAGTCTTTACGTTCACACTGATTGAATCTCAAGAGAGAGTCTGCAATGACTTGTTCGCTTTGCCAGGCCAATAAACCTCTCTGTAGTCATACCCCTGCAACCTCAGAACCCAGCGTTCAATACGTGCTGATGGTTTTGAAAGCCTGCCAAAAATACACTCGAATGGCTTGTGATCAGTTTCAAGTTCAAATTTCCGCCCGTACACATAAATGTTGAACCTCTCACAAGCCCATACTAGGGTAAGGGCCTCTTTCTCAGTCTGACTGTATCTCCGTTCCACTTCAGTGAGGTTCATGGATACATATGAGATTGCTCGCCACTCACCGTCTTGAAGTTGAGTCAGCACCGCACCTAAACCCTGTGGACCTGCATCAGCGATAATACGCGTGTTACAGTCTCCTCTGAAATATGCAAGTGAAGTGGCCTGAGCAACAAGCTGTTTCAACTTCTGGAAGGACCTTTGTTGTGCTTCACCCCAGATGAAAGGCTCATTCTTCCTCAGGAGGCTCCTGAGTGGTTCTGCTTCTTACACGAAGTTGGGAAGAAACTTTGCAGAATACTGTACAAGCTGAACAAATGATCTGACCTGTGAAGCATCTTGTGGAGGGCTTGCCTTTAAGATGGCAGCTACTTTCTCTTCACTGGGTGCAACACCTTGCCTGCTCAGGTCATGACTGAAGAATGTCAGCTTGGGAAGACAAAACTGGCATTTGTCCCCATTCAAAGTTATAACATAACCAGAGTAAAGCACGCGCTCTGATTGGTCAATTTAGCGTCCCTTAATTGCCCATGGGTGTACGCTGCTGACGTGAGCAAATGCAAAGACTATTTTTCCACGCGCGCTTGTTTTTTTCTGGTCACGTAAGATTTGTTAAACAAAAGGGAACTCTTTAGCTACAATGTGTTAATGTTATGTTATAAAACAAATGGTAAACACCACAGCGTACACTATTGAGTTATGGATGCACTTGGGAGGTTTGCTAAGCAAACTCAAGAAGCTAGAGTCGCTCTCAGCTATCGCCTCAAGTGACTCTTACGCTTCTTTCGTGCTTACAATTACAATTTACAATTTATCACTTATAGAGCACTATTTACAATGACAGATCAACAGCGCTTTACAATCAATCCTAGCCCGCCCATCCCACCTCAGGGGAGGACATCCATCACACAGTAATCTCGTGCGTGGGAAATTAACGTCTCCTACCCCTAACCCTGTAGGAGACGGGGCCTCCATTTATTCGTCCCTATCCGAGAAGACTAGACTATCTAACCATTTCTTGATGTTATAGAAAGGAAGCATATTCTTCTCAATTATTTTAAGACCTTGAGTGTTGGTCCGGCCGGGGCTCGAACCCTCGACCTCCCGCACAACAGTCCAGCGCTCTATCCATTGAGCTAACGGGGAGGCGGTTAGCAACCTCCCATGTGCATCCATAACTCAATAGTGTACGCTGTGGTGTTTACCATTTGTTAATTAGTCCTTTCTCCTTCAAGCAGGTCAGTAGGGCATGTAAATTCCTGTCGTGTTGCTTTATGCCACAACCATGCACAGTCAAATCATCTGCTACATTAGCCACTCCCTCACAACCATGCAAAACATCTGCCATAATTTTCTGGTACTTTTCAGGCGCTGATGTTACCCCAAACATCAAATGGTGTGTAACAAACGTGATCTCGCGCGATCTTTCATCAAGTTCCACCTGGTGGAAGCCACATTTGAGGTCGAGCTTTGAGAAAACAGTTGAGCCATTAAGGTCATACAAGACTTCCTCAATTGTAGGGATAGGATGTCTTTCCCTCTCTATTGCTGAATTTTCCCTGTGCATGTCCACGCTAATCCAAATGTCACCATCTGTCTTTGGTACAACAATCAACGGCAACACCCACTCAGTTGGGTTGTGTGACACCTCCTCGATGATGTGTTTTGCTAACAGCTCATTCAACTTCTCGTCAACCTTAGCTCTTAACCCAAATGGCAGTCTCTGTACGGGTTGTGCAACAGGCTTGACATCGTCTTTTATATGTAATTTCAGCTGGAAATTCTTCAGTTTCCCGACCCCTGTAAAAATCTCTTTGTACTTCTCACGGATGTCACTTACTTCAGCAGTTAGTGAATACACATCAGGGCCGACCCTTAATACGCCCAAATTCTCTCCAGTGTTCTTTCCTAGTAGAGGTCTTCCTGGACCTTTAACCACTGCGAATTCGTCCACACAACTGATGCCACTGATCTCGCATACAATTTCAGACACAAACATCCTGATCACCTCAATAGGATCTTTCTGCCCATAAGCAAACAACTTTTCACTTGATTTCTTGGATTCACACTGGACACTCTTCTTCAAAATTTCCCAGGTTGCTTGGTTGATCACATTGCATGACGCGCGAGGGTCAATAAGTACCGCGAGTAGTATCACTCCTCCAATCTTCAAAAAATTAATCTACTTCACTACCACGTGTAGGCTCACCAACTCCAACTGCAATGCATAATAATCTTGTTGGCCAGTGGTTGAATCCTCTGATAGTTGGTAAGCTCTCCCCTGTGTATGATTATTCCTTCGCTCGTCATCCCTTGTGAAAGGTTTTCGTTCCTTTGTTTTGCAACAGACTGCAAAATGTCCAATGTCGCCGCATGCATTACATTTCTTGCCACGGCCAGGACAATTCTGGTCACGTGCAATATGGTCAGTGTAATTACAGCGAAAGCAGCCTCTCACTTTTGTCTCCTGAGAACCACTAGATGGTTTACCAGGCTTATTTCCTCTGCCTCTACCTTGTGCTGTCCTTTTTCCTTTTCCTTTGCTGTGAGGTCTGCCAGAAACAGTATTTACCTGACTGGATGACTGCTCATTAGCTTTGACCTGCATGTTCACTGCTTCCTGCAGATGAGCCAAATCTTTTAAATCCTTCAGAGTAGCATTTGCTTTCTCAAGAAACTTACGGCAATGGCTGGGAGCCCTGCATTTCTCAATAAGCTGATCTCTTATTATATTGCCTCATCGACATTTTCAAACTCGCAGGAGATTGCTTTCTGCCTCAACCGACAAACAAACTCCATTTGCCTAAACTGGTGCCTTTTGAATGGAACATTCAACTATGGTACAAAATAGTTATCCAACAACTCTATACTCTCAGCGAACGGCTTGATATCCGCACCGGCCAATAATGTGTAATAAAGCTCTTGTAAATTCAACCCTCCAGTATGCAACAGCAATGCAGTTTTCTGTTCATCCTTCGTTAAACTCATCACCAATAGATGAGCTTAGGAACTGGTGCCTTAAAGGTTGGACGGGAGCCTGAAGGCTTCAGGCATAACAAGGAGGTATCCATGGCAACCCCGCATACCTTTTGCCACCAAATACACATTAAATGAGCGTTTCCACTACTTCCAGTGAACTGCAAGTGTGTTCGGATCTTCCTTTGGATTCAAGGGAGTAAGGCTGGCCACATCAAGAAGAGGAACAAACGTTGCAGCTGGCAAAGCTTGTGAACTTGACTAAACTAAACTGACTGTGTAATTCAAATGCATCATGATGTCTTTTGAAAATTATCCATTTTTATTTCTTTAAGCTTTTGACTACATGTATAAAGGGTAAACAAGTGGCAGTCACCAGTGATTATAATCATTATAGATGGGTTTCAAACTTGTGATAATTAGAACATTCAAACTTTAAGTTTGAACATGATCACTTTTGGGTACTTCCTGAAATCTTTGGTGCATTTTTCCAATTTTTGTTGATATTTTTGTTCCTTCTTAGGAAGTGGAATAATCCTCAATGAAAACTTTATTCCTGGATGGTTTTTAATGGGGAGTCACTCAGACACTGAGTGAGTAACATTTGACAGTAAAATATTTATTCAGTTTTTCTTATTCTACTGTTATGTCATCCAATTGGTTTTCTTCGTGTTCAGGTTGATGTGATCTTCCCATAAAACCTTGGTCTGTGATGACAAATTCTTTTATCCTTATTATGAATAAAGGCTCCATGGAATATGCTCCCTACCAAAATACACATTATTTTCTCAACTAAAAAGGGGAAGTGAGCATGTAAACCAATTCCAACACAGTTGGAAACTAAGGAAACAGCATTTGTCTAAATTAAAATTTGCATTCTGTGGCAGCTTTTGACTTGCTTTCAATAGGTTTAATTTATTTAATTATTTGTTTGTTTATTTATTCATCTCACTTCCATAATTTTGTGACAATGATAGCATCAATGAAAATAAATTATAAACTCGTAATGATATCATTTACAAACATGCAATAATTTAAGCCATTTTGGCTTTTTCTTATTGCCTGCAAAGGAGGCAACCTAAACTAAATTAACAGATACAACACAACTGTAACTATTTTTTGGCCAAGACTTCCAAGGGGGGCAAGTTTTCTTAAACTATTGTCACAGCAACTGTAATTTCAAATGTTGTCATTAATAAGTATGTGCTAAAACAGTGCGTAATGTTGAAGTCACGCTCTGATTATACTTTGCTATTCACCTCTGAGCAACTCACACAGGATTTGTACCCAATAATAGTAACTAAATGAAATTTTTATGTGATGTGTCAAAACAGAGAAAACAGATTCAACACAAGAAACTGATTGTGATGCGAGTCATGCCAAAAACATGTCTTTTAAAAGTATCATCGTAAGTTGGAAAGTTATTTTGGTTTTATTTAAACATTTTCAGATTTAATACTCTAACAGCTGGTCTTAAATATCTGAGACATGAGGAGTCGAGAAGAGCCACTGGTCCACTGGCATTTGTCAAAGAGAATGTTGGAACATTTCTTGATGCTGTTGATACTCTCAGATGTATCCTTAAAGATCTGGGAATTCTGTTGGAAATAAGTTTTATGAGTAGAAAGGCCATGAATACAGGTAGTTTTGACGATAATGTATTAAATCATTATTGAGATATTTTGGAGTTGACTTGACAATACCTCCTGGTTTTGTATCAAAATATAATTATGTTTTTTAGTTTTTTTCTCTTTTTTTTCCCCTCATTAATGTACTTTCTAGATAGACTGGACATATAAATTGTACCATTCACAATTGAACATGGAAATGGATAGGCCAAAAAGAAGTTAACAATTGCTAAAACAATAGCTTACAGTAATTGTTGGGTTGGTCTTCTTGAGAAAACTTCTTTCTCCCTTGGTATGAATTTGACATAATTTTATGTTGTGAGTATTGAGTGATTGAATTTCCTTAACTAAGGTAACTATCAGGTGTTCAACATGATATGCTGCGGGATGAAAGCACGTGTGATGGTGGATCCATTGTTGAGAAACTGGAGTCTTTTGTACAAGGTGTCATTGATATGCTTTAAAGTTGAAGACTAATTATTTTAAACTACAAAAACACAAGCTCTGATTTGAATCTAGCCAAAAAATTTCCAAACATAGTTTTTCAATCTTTATGTTCTTCAATATTTGAGTTTATTTACAGTGGACGATTTTGCACTACCTATAGGTAATTCATTTACTGTATGATCTTGTATGTTTTGGTTAAAACATTTCTTAGTTTGAAATATTTAAAATATCAAATCATAGGATAAAGTACATATGTATGTTGTAGTTTAAAAAAATGTCTCTTTTAACCCTTAAAGTTCCAAGATTTGATTGTTAATTCTCCCTTCTAACTACTATATATTTCTTTGTAAATTGGTAATGAGAATTTGATGTTAGATTTTAGGTAGATGGTAAGTTTTTATACTCTCATTCCCTGTTTGCTGGGTAGATTATTGAACTTATTGGGAGAAGTTACATGTTAATCTCTTCTGACAGTTTACGTGTAAAATGATGTCAAACCATTGTAAGTTGTATCCAGTTACCTTTATTTGTCTACAGAACAAATGTAAAAAATAGTGACATGATCATGTATTAGGAACAAAAGAAGGAAACGCTGAACTTTCTTACAATTGTTTTAACTTAAAGTTAATTTGAACTTAAAACAAAAAATTATTAATTTTTCCAACAGGTGCCAGCAAAAATGCAGAGGGCTTGTTTCAAGATGTGCTGGGTCGCAAAGACGATGCCGACAGAACAAGAAATGCTCTCAATGTTCTACAGAGATTCAGATTTCTATTTAGTCTGCCGCAATGCATCGAGAGAAACATTCAGCAGGTATGCCTTTGATCTCACCCCTAACCTCCAGGAATGAACATGTTTTGTCCTCTTTTTACAGTGTTAATAAGTCACTCGCCAAACATGACATTAGAAGAGAGAAACTTGTTGGCTGCAGAATCTTCTCAACATAGTTATGAGGAAATATATTGACATTTGAAGGAAGACTTATTAATTTGTACTCTCAGAGTTTCATGTAAAGGGTTAAAATGTGTCCAGAAAAGTATTCTTCAGCGAGGAGCATGTCTGCTTTGCATTGTACCAGTATTTTAGTTCTTTTTTGGATAAAATTATACCTACTGATGTATGTAATACAACCATCAACCAATTTATTGACCTCCAGTTATTCTAAATTACATTCATAAATATATGTAGTTATTAACTAAGTTAAAAGCTTTGGTGTGCAGACCTGTTATGTTGAATGGAGGACCCAGAGTTATTGTCCAGTAGTTTGGTTAACCCTTGAACTCCCAAGATCTGATTGCTAATTCTCCCCTCTAGCTGCTACACATTTCCTTTTAAATCAAGGGAACAACTTCTAACGGATAAATTTGAGTATTCTCATTACATCTTTACTGGATAATGTATGGATATTATAGGGAGAAGTTACATGTTAATCACTTTTGGGAGTTAAAGGGTTAACAGTGAAACATTAACTACTGTGCCTCTAGTGTCAAACTTCTAAATATTTTGCTCCTTGAGTGGCCTGCACTGAAGATATCAGCTCTCTGACTTGGTTTGTGTAGATTTAAGAAGCCTATTATACACATTGTGAATTATAAGAATTATTGTAAATATTTTGCTCCTTGAGTGGCCTGCACTGAAGATATCAGCTCTCTGACTTGGTTTGTGTAGATTTAAGAAGCCTATTATACACATTGTGAATTATAAGAATTATTGTAAATATTTTGCTCCTTGAGTGGCCTGCACTGAAGATATCAGCTCTCTGACTTGGTTTGTGTAGTTTTAAGAAGCCTAATATACATGCACATTGTGAATTATCAGGGTGACTCTGGAAAATTAATAAGTTTTAATTAACCTTATGAATACTGTGTGTATGTGTACACAATAGATTTTAATCAATGTTGGTTTCAAATTTTCAAGTAATGTAGTGTGTCATCTTTCTGTAAATTTAAAGTAATATTCAGCAAGATGCATGTAAAGTGTAGTCTTTGAGCCAAGGTAGACATGTTTATAATGCACAGTTCAGTGAGTTTCAGGAGAAAGTTATTCAAAACTAAGACTTTTTGCATAATTTCAGGGTGATTATGAGATGGTAATTAGTGATTATGGAAGAGCCAAATCATTGTTTGCTGGAACAGACATTAAAATTTTCAAAAGAGGTGAGCTTCCTGATAACATGCTAATTCATGTACAACTAGAAGAACATTTAAGACGTAAATCAGCAGTTAAGCTAAGTGGCCCACATGACACAAGAACTAATCTGATTTCGCAGGCATGGAGTGACTAGCAGTATTGCTTCTTCCCTTGGATATAATGCCAGTTTGGTTCAGGCTACCCTCCAGAATTTTATCTGGTTTTCCTGACAGTTTGCCAAGTCACCTTGCATAAATGCAACACATTGACCCAGCTGGGTCTGGAACCCAGACCTTTTGACTCAGAGTTCTGTATGCTAACCTTTAGTCACCAAGTTTTCATCGCGAAGGATGTTAGAGCTGCAGATGATATATATGGCTATCAACATCATTTATGATGTTTCTTTGAACCTGCTCTGTACAAATCAATAATTTGAAACCTTGATATTTTCTTTCAAACAAGAAAGTTAAGTCAAAACATAAAATAGTGATGATGATGATATTGATACAGGCCGGGTTATCTTGTTGTCACTGTTGATGGGATCAGTTCAGAGACAAACTTGCTCATACACCTGTGTTTATGTGTTTCTAGTTTTGCAGGAAGTTGAAGCCAAAATAGAGAGTTTTCGTCAACATCTTAAACTGAAACTTGCTGATTTACCGTCACCACCAGAAGAACAAAAGAGACTCATAAGGTACTACTGACAGGAGATAAACTACAATGTCTCAAGTGTAAAGTCAACTTGGGGGAAAGATCTATTTTCCATGGTCTGACAGAAGTTAGTGTCCCTCCCTCAGCTAGAAATGATACTCAGCCCGAAAAATCTTTGATGCACTTTTATTTGGCAATCAAGTTGTTTCTAAGGCATTCTTTATTCTTCCTGTGTAAACTCCTTTTTTAATAATCATGATTATAATTATATAGTATGTTATCCATGTAATTAGAACAAGAGAAATGCAGACCTTGTTTTCATCATTTTATTCCTGTTTTTGTGTTATTTGTAATTTTAATTTTGATCAAGTAAATATGGTGTATTTTATACTTGAGAAACATCTGTGCCATGTTTGATCATATATGCACAATTTCAAACATAGACAATATTACATGGCTGCACGGAGATACAAAGTTTCTCTTCTAGCACAAATGAGCGTATAAATCTTTTAACACGAGAAGAAAAACTAATTTGTGCCTCCAAGTGGCCCTGTAATATTCTATTTATTATATAAACAGCAATGAAAACGTAACCATTTCACTGTCAGTACAAAAGGTGTGATTTATTATTTGACCTATAGTAATAGTAATATTTTCAGGTGTGAAAATAACATGTTATTTTTATGCATGACAATATCATGTTTTCAATCAAAAGCTCACCTGGTATTTCATTGGTGTCTATATGATAAACCCCAATACTTTTCAGAAAATCAAAGTTAGTAAACAATTTTTATTCCACATGAACACAACAGTAGGAGAGAGAGGTACTGTAAGAACTTGAGAAAGCTCTACCCCACTTTTTCCTTTGTCTTTATACACTAGATATTTAGTGGACTTAGACTACCAAGGGGACCCTGCTTGGGAATGTCTTGTCCTACAGAAGGATTGGTTACTCAAGCTCATGACCACCTGCCAAGAAGATCACAAATCTAAAGGCAAGTTCTTCTTGGAGACTTTCTTTTTAACAATGTAATTGTCTTTTGACAACCTTGTGTAACTTGCCTATCATCATGCTTGGCTCAAAACAGTTTTTTTTCTTCTTGTCAGACTCTGTTCCTCTGCTTCAAGTTGATTCTTCAAAGACAGAGCTAGACATCAGAGCATCAAGAAGTGTGAACGCACTGGGTTTGTACTTCAGTATAATCTGAATTTGTATTGTAAATGGTAGATATTGGTATAAGTTCACTTTAGTTAGTGTTCTTTTAGTATCCATGAGCAATATATATGTTGTTGACATTTTCAATTGTGAGGTAAAACTAATCAAGGATTGAACAGTTTCACTATAAGTTACATTATTGGCATGGAAAGTTCATAGCATAGACCAGGTGCCAAATTTGAATTTACATTTATCCATGCTGAATTATCATTGGTGTAATTTTGCTTTCAGTTTCCATTGATTGTCCTGAATTGGTTTTAGTATGCGAATTAAAAAAAAAGAAAACTCTGAATAGACTGTGGCTTAAGATTCCATTTTTTTATCAGGATAATTTCTTATTCACACATACTCATATTGTTTAACCCTTTTACTTCCAAAGTCTCAATATTAATTTTCGTTACAGTCTGCTTTACATTTCTTATAATTTTAGGTCTGAGAATCTGGTGTTACAACAGATTATAACCTTAAGTTGATATTTTTCCTTGTTATTATAATCTGTTTTAACAATTATGGGCTGAAATAAAGGGATTATTGTAGAATAATCCCTGATACAAAGTCAAGGGGATTACTCGACAATACCCATTGAGCCTGATGCAAATAATTGTTCTGGTGTAATTGCAAAGGTACTTTTGAATTCTGTTGTAAATATTTGTTTTGATGTTGAAACCATTCTGTTTCAAATATTGTTTTGATTACTTGTATTGAGATTTATCTCTATAAAGATCCAGTTCCCACTAGAATTTGATTGGTTCATTTGATTCAATCGGCAAAAAACTTCATATCTTTCTTTTGGAAAATGTTACTCAAAACTTAAAAGGATGCATCTTTCATGCTTCAGAATGAAATTTTCTTCATCACATTTATCACCACCTTGGTAACACTGACATTAGTAACACTGACATTAGTAGCCATTTTGAAACTTGTGCTGCTGCTATAGTCACCTTGTGCAATGTGATTATTGCAAGATATGATGCAATCCTCAACCAATCAGTGCCTGTACATCTCTCATAATCACCAGAGCAATTATACTTAGAGGTATTAATATTGCAATTACTAAATTATTTTGTATCCACTCCTGGGAGTGAAAGGGTGAAAGAAATTTTTTTTTTTCATACATTTCAAATTCTAGCGATCCTTTTTTATGAAGAAAGAATTAAGTTGAACTTTTTTATTATTATTATGTTTGAATTTTAAACAATTGTTCTGGTGAAGTTTTTCAGTAATTTTTCCCTCAAGCAAGCATAATTTGTAAACATATTCTTGCAAATGAAAAACAAACAATGTTACCCTAAGGTAATTAAAAAGGAAAATTAATGTATTTTTTGAAGGACATGTGAGAAAATTGTTAATATCTCTGCTTTCAGGATCTTATCATAGTGAATCTCTGGGAATTCTTGGAGTCCCTCCAGCACTAAACAAGACAACATCTTTAGAAAGAAACAGTAAGTTACAGAGCAACTCCTAAAGACAAGTCTGTTTATTTTATTAAGTAATTTACAGCAGTGACCACTATACACAAGAAGTTACTGGTATATTGAGATGAGGTAGCACAGTGATCAGCACACAGAATACCTGAATCAAACAGTCTCTGTGCAAGTCTGCATAGGCTAGTTCACTGCGTTCTGTTCTTAAATAAGAAACTTCGCTCTCACAGCATCTCTCTCAGCCACTGTTGTGAGGGACTAGCTTCCTATCTAGAAGTAATTCCAAGAGTCAGCTATTAGAGGCAGCTTCTGAGAAGTGAAGTGACCAAGTTTAATGCTATTCCCCACCCTTCCCCTTTGGACAGGATGGTTTTCCACCCAAGTGTAACCCCACAGAATTTCTGAGGCCTCCCTGACATTTCAGTGGTACTCATTAATACTCCTGGGTGAAGAGAGGCACTGTGAGAGAAGAGTATCTTGTCTAAGAACCAACCAGTGTGAAAGTAACAACAGCACAACCAAGTAGTAATTTTTGAATAGGAATTGTCTTCTTTTGTGCTAGTTAAAGTGAAACTGCTTACAATTTATTGATATTACTTGTACATTGTAGGAAAGAGTGGATAATAAGTGTAATTGTAATGAAAAAAAACAATCATTTGAAGAAATATAAAGTATAAGAGTGATAATTTCAAACTAATATAATTATGATAATGTGTCAATAATAATTTTTATGTTCATTGAGGCTGACTGTTTTATTTATGTAAAAGTGTTTAAATTCTGTAACTTTAATCATCCTGATTGTTTCCCTTGCTAGTAAAAAGTGGTACTTCAGTGCCGCAGCGAGTGGTGTTTGTTGAAGAATTATCAGAGCTGTTGACTGAGGCTTTACCAGACTTGTGGAAACTGGGCCAAGCTTACTTCAGTGAAACTCTGATTGGAGATGTATGTCTGGTTACTTCCTTCTCAATTTTATTGAGCTCTATCATTGATCTTCTGTTCAAAGTCTTAAACCAGATTTGTATATTTTTGTGTGGCAGTTAATCTTATCTTGGTGTCAATAAAGTCAATGATACGTAGAAGGCCAATGGTAAAGTTGCCCAAGGGGAGCTTTCAATGACTGGGTTTCCACGAGTGATCCAAGTTATATTCTAGGCTTTTAACCATCTTAAAGTTTTTGTTCAATTCTTTGCCTCTTGCAGTAGTCAGACCCTTATTATACATGGCAGTCTAGTATTTCTCTACTATCAGCAATTGTGTTTGTGCATGTGCTCACATACATAATAAGTTTACTTTTTTCCCTTTCCAAACAGTCCAGTGGGTCAAAGCAACTGAAGCCTACAGCACAAAAGCAGAAATCTTTTGAGGTATTTGCCGCAATCATTGTACACACATATATGTTTAGTATTAATTATAAATATTATTTACTCACAACATGGAAATACCATGAACTTAATTATGTTTTTGGTGAGAAAAAAAGATACAGGGCATGTACATGTAACAATGACAGAATTCTTTCATTGTATGTAATGTACTTAATACCAAAGTGTTCTTGTTGGCTTATTTCTTCTTTTTTTTTTTCAGGAAATGATACATGATGTTACATCATTGTACGCAGATCTGGTAAAAGCAGCATTTTTTCCAAGTTCTCCTGCTGTCCTTAATGTTCCTGCCAAAGAGAAACAAGGATCTTGGCATTCACCTGTGGAGGGGATGGGTGCATGGCTTCCATCCTGTGTCAGATATGTCAGGTAGCTATTTAAGCAACAGAACACATTTTTCCAGGCTCTTTGACCATGAGTGATGTTGGGAGAACATGAGGAAAGCTTATTTATTACGCACAGAAGGGAAGTGATTTAAGAGCTTTCCGAGTGTTCTCCTAACATCACCAAGAAGGTTTATCATGTTATAGAGCCTGGAAAAATGCTTTCTATTACTTTTATGACATAACTAGTTGGTACATGCAGGCTCTACAACTTGATAAAGCATGCACTTAGAAACTGAATTGACCAATCTGATAATGCATACGATAATTATGTTCATTATGTTATGAAGATGAATAGAATTGAAAAGCCAATTTACCAGTACCTTGTACTCTGTTGGCACTAGTCATCACATCCCCTTGGAATTCTTCTATCATGCCATTTTACCATATAAGAGCATTGGAATGCACAAAATGTGTCATGGTACTATACTGTAAATATAGAAAAAACTGCTAACAGAAAGTGGAGCAACAAAATGGCCTCAGTGAAAGAGGTCATAAGAATTTTTTCTTTACCTGGTGTGGTTCCCTGATACCCTTTACAAGGGCTAACGCCTAGTGGGATTTTCATGGGTTTCTCCTGGCACTTTAATTTACGCTTCAGAGTTAATTCTCTGTTCCACCATTTGTGTTTATAGTGCTACACAGCACAACATTTATAATTTATTTACCCTTACTTTCTCTTTGCTGCAATTCACCAACTTAATCAATCCTGACTTTCTCTGTCCGACCTCATAGCTTAGTCAGCAGGGCAACGGTAGATCTAATCTGGAGGTCATGGGTTCAATTCCCACAGAGGTCATAAGATGTCTTTCTTTACCTCTAGTGGTTCCCGGATACCCTTTACTAGGTCTAAGGCCCAGTGGGTTTTTCATGGGTTTCTCCTGGCACTTAAATTTACACTTCCCTCTAGCTGCTACACATTTCCTTGCAAATTAGTTGTGATAATTTGGTGTTAGATTGAGATAACAACTCCTACCTGATGAGTCTGAGTATTCTCATCACCTGTTTGCTGGATAATGTAAGGACAATAATTATAGGGAGAAGTTACATCTCAATTGCTTCTGGGAGTTGAAGGGTTTAAACCTCTTGTTGTTGGTCAACAGATCTTGCTTGGAGTCCCTACAAAGGTTAACTCTTCCTCCTCAAGCTTTAGATGCCATTAAAAAGCTGGTTGGAGACCTGCGTATGCTCTGTGCTAAAGAAGTGTTTAAAGAAGCCACTGAAGGTTAAGGCTACAAAGTTTTGCTTTTCTGTTTTGAGTAACTCTGTCCTTCATGCTCATCGTGGTGTTTCCCAACATTCTTTCTTTATCAAATACTTTTTTTAAGATTTACAATTAGACAACACTTAAATTTTCCATGTAGCATTGAAATAAGTTTTTAATGGGGGAAGGTGTATAGTGAAGTATGTTTCTATGGGAACCAGGGACAAACTTGTCTTGAAGTTTTAAAAATTCACTGCTAATGGAAATGCTTTGCTTATCAAAGTGTCCTCAGCATAACGATGCAAGTGATCCTTTTTAGGTACTTATTGTCGGGCCATTTGCTGGAGAAAACTAAACTGAGCTGTTCTCTTCAAATCTTTATGTAGATATCAAATCACTACACTGCAGTGAGTTCTGGAGCTTGGAGCTGCATGAAAATGTTGGTCGGATCACAAGCTTGGTAAGGCTGCTGGTCTTTTTTCACTGGCCATGCACTCTCAAACAAATGGAAAGAGTTCAAATACCTCAGTGCTGCCTGTTCTTGTCAATTTCCATTTTCCAGCTTAGTACTGGTAACAATGACGTAAGGTGTTCTGCATCAGTCTCATTTAAATGCAAATCAGGCTCTTTCATTATAATTGGAAAATGCATCTGGCATTACCATACAATGTGTAATGAGATAATTACAGAAAGTGTGCATGGCAGTGTTTTCACAGTGGGTAATAAAGTAATAAGGTAGTGTACGAAAGCAATCCTTACAGTAGTGAACCCTACTTAATATGTAGTAGTGGAAATAAGGCCTGGAAAAAATTCAGGCCCTGACAGGATTTGAACCCATGACCTCTGTGATACCAGTGCAGTGCTCTACCAACTGAGCTAACGTGCCAACCAGGAGGATCGCTTTCATACATTTCATGAAAAGGCATGATTTTCATATATTCAAACTCACTGTTATAAGGTAGTAGCACAAAATGCACATGGCAGCATTTCATAATGGATAATGAGGTAATAAAAAGTACCGTAATTTCCGCCTGTTTGCCCAAGGGTAATCTGTTGATTTTGCCTTAAACAAGCACTACTGCGGGTAATAGGGGGGTGCTGGTTTTGTGACAATTTTGAAATCTACTGGCAGTTGAATTGAAGAAAATTCTCACCTACCTGTGTTTCTACCTCTCAGATGAATTTTATTGTAATAAGAGTGCCACAAAGCAGCACGAAAATATGATGCCGACTCGAGTTTATTTCAAGCACAATTTGTTGTGCAACAAACAAATTACTATCGGCATGCTTGTAAACAAAACCTTGATGGTGACAAAAATAAACCGAGGATAACCGGCACATCTGTAAAAAGTTTCCAGTTAACACTAGCTTCAGCTGAAGAGAATTGTCCCGTTTTAAGAGACTTGTTAGGGCCAGTAGAACCGGAGATATCAATTTTTTTAAGAAATCAACAAATCAACATAGCACTGAACAATCGTTCACACAAAATGTGGCCACGAATTCGCATTCTGTCAATTATGCAACATTGTGAGTTCAAGAGCATAGTTGTACAAATTTCCTTTTAAGGTGCAGGCTAACCACCAGTGCGGGTAATCTGTTGACTTTTTTTTTCACTGCATGCAATAATCGGCTGGTGCGGGTAATTGGCCGTGCGGGTAATCGGCCATGCGGGTAATTGGGCGGAAATTACAGTAACAGTGGCCAATGTGCATGGCCATTCATTTTCCAGTCTATCCCTTCCTTGCATCTCAAAACCCTGGTAATGAAAATCTGTCTGCAATATCTTTCAGCCTCTAATGTTTGAAAACATTGTCATGGAAACGCTCCATACACTACGAGAAATGGCTCTGAGTGGAGAGACAGATAAAAGGAAGGTAATAATTTCTGTATTTTGCGCATTTAAGGAGTTATTGTCTTTTGGTGGCTTTTCAAAATAACATTGAAAACCAGCTCAGGTGCTATTATTTATTTTGAACCCTATCTCTCCTAAGATCTCCTTGGTACTCATTGCAGTTCCTGTCATATTAGTTTCAAGGAGACATTCATCTTAAATCAACTAATAATCCCTTGTTTGATATGTTTCTTTATTCTCATTCCTTTTCTGCTTGATGTTTTATTGATATTATATTTTATTATATGGCTGTGTCTCACAA